TATGTGAAAATCTGTCACTTCCTTGGTAGGATCTGTCAACATCTGGAAGAACTTTTCTGCTTCTGTGTCATGGATAAATTCTGATTGTTTCATGTTCAAACGCTGTCCAAATTTTCCCCAGAAACTGTTCAAGCATAATTTAGCCAGGGAACGTAGTCCTGGGTTTTTTTCTATGTGATCCTTGTCCAGTTGTATACCTTCCTTCTCTCTGTAGTCCGCTATGTATTTCTCCTTGTCATCTTCCGTTTCACACCATGCTGGCCATCCACTGGCTTGCTGTTTTAACTTCAAGAAGGTGTTGATGTAATCCGTAAACAATCCACACTGTCCTGTCTCAGGGTTGTACTGAGTTGTTTCTGACCAGTGGTAAATCTCATACACCTTGATCACTCTATATCCTTTCTCAATGGCTTTCACTATTTCAGGTGTACACCAAGTTCCTAGGATGGCTCTCTGCTCATCTGAATGTTCACAAAGGGTCTGTTGCTCCTCGTCAGCACAGGTACAACATAAAGGAAACTTTAGCTTGCCTTCAGATCGATAGGGGAGTACTGGATGATAGAGTTTTCTAGGTGGTAATATCTTCACCTTGGCAATTCCAAAATAGTGATCCAAAGACTGGAAATTCTTGTGAATGATTTGGGGATGTCCAATAGGGTACTGGCAATATTTGTTGACCCATGGGTAGAGACTTGTAAAGTCCACGTAATGAATTTCTTCACTATCTTTCACCTTGTAGTGAAGTGTACTGGCATTGGTCCTGCCGCCAAAAAAGGAGTCACGTGGCTCTAAGCGATCCTGTATGTCCAGTGTACTGACAAAAGCCTTCATGTCTGGTTTATCCTTTAATTGTTGGTGGAACTCGTGTTCCCAGATGGCAACCACTTTGTAGCCTTTCTGTTTCAACACCCATGATTTCTTACAGGTGAGAGCATAAAGTTCTTCCATAGACTGTTTGGTCCTGGGGAGTATGGTCGATGATCTGGCGTGTGGAAAGCATGTCTTACAACCATGGTAGCAACAACCATGGAATTCCAGTACTGTGTTTGTTTTGGGACAATAACCATCCACTCGGTAGTTGGTTCCAGGCACCTTATGTTCACCTCCATTCAGGGCATGTTGTATGTCAATATTTTCTGAATGCATGATCCATTCTAACCATTGAATGGAAACTTTACTGTATTGCCCATGTCCAACATACCCCTGACATGGTACTTGAGCAATGGCGCTTGGAACTGTTTCTGCTTCATGGACAATGATACCCCTCTTTTGAAGCTGTCTTTGTGACATCCACTGACCTATCTCGAGCTTGACATCAAATGACCCATCTTCTTCTTCGGAGGGTCTGGAAGACATCCAGTTTGTGATAGTTTGTCCATCAGTCAGTCTGACATGTTCATGAGGTTTCAGAAACTTGGTTTTAAATATGTTCATGCACAAAGAGGCTATAGTGATAGAGTTTGCAAAGGGATCAACACCCTCAATGATCTTTCCTTCCGTTTCCTCGCCTGTGGCCTCCATCATCAGTTGCTGAAACTTCAGACAGGCTTCTCTGAGTATAGTGACATCTGAGATACAGTACTCCTTCATTTCTTTAGAAAAATCAAACTGTCCATGTTGTTGGCCGTACCATGACAAGAATACATCTCTGTCTTTAGCTCCCATGTAGTCCACTCCATACATGTGAGGATCTGGAAAAGCTCCAACATAATTTTGGTTCTCCTTCAAATTGAACCAATGTGGGAAGTAACCCTTCTTCAGTTCTGTCAGTCCAAAAGCTTTGGGTAAGGAGGCCAATTTCATTGGAAGAAAGTTGAGACTGTCTATGATTCTGATGTTGAGACCTTTCTCAATCTGCATGTACATAATTTTAGAACCAGTGTAAATGATTTTGCTTGGATACATGGATTGATCTATCATGTACTCCAAAAGAAAGTATCCATCATAGGCTTTGCTATTGTGAGCAATAGCTGTGAAGTCTTTATGATTGCCACTGAAGAGCCATCTTGAAAATTCAATGTGAGCTCCATCTCCCTTGAAAATCACTTGACGAAATCCACAACTCTCTTCACAAGGAGGTTCCTTAAATTGTTTGGTTTTCTTGTCCCTTGTATTACAGGCAGGGCATCTAGAACCACAGTGATGACATTTGGATTCTTCATCGACTGACTCTGTTTTGCAAACAGGACAGGCTGACTGAGCCACCAAGTAGTTGGGAACATGTTGACATTTACCACACCAGGATTGGTGACAATGTTGACAAATAGAGGACTGATGGGGACAGTTATCAACAGGACAGGTAGGACAGGGCCCTTGAGGTGAATAACCTTCCTCACACATCAACTGTTCATCCTGTCGACATTCAAAGTCGTAAAAGATGAATTTGCTCTTGGTCTCGTCCACTTCATTAGGTTTCTGGTAACAAAGATGATCTTGTTCCACCACTTCTTGACATCCAGGACATTTCCATTCTCCGCAGTCGTGTAGTTTGGGGTCCCTTTCACTTCGACATAATACTTTCTTACACATGGTACATTTCCAGAAACTCTCACATTTTGAGGGGGTGTATGTGCCATTCTTTGCATTTCTTTTTCCCGTTTGGTGGCGCTGGAAACATTCAGGTGACCTACAGGTCATATGGCAATGTCGGCAAGTCAATGGAGTATCCGTTTCAGGACACTTTTGGCTATGGCATACAATGCAGGTCTCAGAGCAGGAATGGCACAGTTTGTCATTGTAAGGTTTCAAACACCGCTCACAAAAATATGAGGCAGAGAAAAATCCAGTAATGTTGACAATGGCATGGAAATGAGATTGTGGTTTTTCAACCAGGTAGAGAAAGAGTTTGGGTTGTTCTGACTCTTGATCACCAACCCGGATAAACTTGTTCCCTCTTTCAGCGCTGACCACTAGAATCTGACATCCTAGTACTTTCTCGAAAGCTGGAACATCATTCAAATGACAGGCACGATCTGTAGGGATACCTGCCAATTTACATAACTTCATGGCCAACTTTCCTTGATCATGGCGTGACTTTTTTCTTAAATTTTCATATAAATGTCTGGGACATTTCCGATACTGGAGTACTAAGTCTATCAAGGGTGTTTGAGTATGACCAATGAGTTTCTTCCAGTCATCTTGACTAATTTGATTAGCTTTGGCCCAGCACACAATAATGGCTCTGACCATACATAGGTTATCCTCGTTGACAATCTGCACTACGGATCGTTTCAGATGAATAGAGTTGTTTGGACCTGTGAGTTGCATTAAGGTCTTGTTGGATCGACCGCCTCGGGGTATACGTATGATTCCTATATCCACATGAAAGGAGACATCCATGGCTAGTTCTTCACGACTGTTTAACACTTTCTCAATGTGTTTCATGATCAGTTCTGCATGTAGCTGGGACAGAGGTTGCAGAGGTACCACAATAGCCTTATTTAAGGCTTGATGATGGATAATGATTCTCCCCAAATCTCCTTCCTGAACATCATCAGGGGTGGCTTGCTGTAGAACCTCTTCAAACATATCCTGAAGCTCAGTGTACAAAGTCCTGAGACTTTGACCTTGCCATTCGTCGTTAAATTTGATCTCATAGGTTGTACTAATAGCTCCAGTCTTGGCAAAGGTCTTGGTGTTCTTCTTTGTAAAAGTATAGGGTTGAGTTTTAGGAGACCCAGCATCAGGGAAGGGGGACCCTACACCACCATACTGGTTAATAGTACGTTGTCTTTTTGGAGGATTGGAGTCAGTAGACAGCTCTGCAGAACGTTTAGGACAGGTCATCCTGTGTTTTCTGAGATCAGGCATTCTCCTAAATGTATTTCCACAGAAGGAACATGGTAAACCCTTCTGTCGCCGATCATTGATTTCGTTTAATGTTGGATCAATACTCTCCAAGGAGGGACTATCGTTAGAGCTGAGATCATATAAAGAAGACATTTCTTCCATTTCCTCAGGGGTAAATTGAAGATCTTTTACCAGCAGGTCTTCAAGTGTTGCTATTGGTGTTGTTGCTGTAACTGACTGATCTTCTTTCTGTCTACACAGCAAGCATACAGACCTCATACCTACTCGCTCATCGTTTGACAGCCCATGTTCTTCTGCCCACTTGATCAAACTGGCATAGTCATCAAAAGAATCGATTTTGGCCTGGAGATCCATCTGAAATAAAACAAATATTCCCCCTGAACCATACTTTACAGTATTGTGTCATTTTCAATCATACTGTGATAACATGCCAAATAAATAGTATGTCATTATTATTATTCATATATACACTTAAAATAAGTCATCATTTAGAAATGTGAGCAGCCGTTTGGGATATGTAGCCTGTTTGGTTATGTGGCCGTTTTGAAAGTGTCGTTTGCGAACCGGTTTGAAGAAGTTTGACTGAAACCGGTTTGGCAGAAGCGGTTTTAAGACTGAGACAGGTAAGGGCCGTAACTCTTGTCTAATGAACCCGCGTGCGTGGCGTTTCTTTGTCTGATCTTAGAAATGGAGGGAAATTCATGTCCATGGATGACACAATACGAAATGTGTGGAATTTGTGTAATGGATTATTCTATATCGTGATGGGCATGTTCAATATGTTGATGGGATCATACGGAGGACAATAATTTGTGAGTTTACCGTTCATGATTTTCATGTCGATGATGGGACAGATCACGTATGTATGTTTACATTGACATGTTTGCGGTATCATACTGATATGTATGAACTGATGATTATGATTTTTAACACCATCGTCATCTATATTTAACATTGACATGTTTATTATATCCACACATAGTACAAGATGTGTTTGATGTAGACCATGACTCGAATACGAGATTATGAACTATATTTATACAAAGTGACTCGAGATCGGAGATGTTTTACCATAATTCATCACATACTATGTAATCACATAATAATGATTATTATTTGTATCTGTCTTGTTGGTTCTTAATTATGATTCAGGCATGGTTATCAGTATTATTATTTTTTGTTTTTGTGTTATTAATTGTTTTCAATGACTCAACAACTATTTTATTGTAACTGTAATAACAAGAAATAAAGTAAATATTGTCACTACATATAAATGTAATTTTTTGTTGTTGTTTTTTTTGTATCTAGATGCTGTTTCTTCGTTTTATTATTAGAAACGTTGAGAGCACAACCAAATGTTTTCCAGGTGACTACAGAAACACCTGGCCTATTGTTAGTACTGAAGAAATGAAGGACGCTAACATAGGGTGGTACATTTGTCCAATGTCGGTATTCTAACCTTAGGAGTCTCTTTGTGAAACTAGTGGAATTTTCCATCAATGACCTGTATTTTGTTTTTATAGGTCAATTGAGGAAATGGTGACCTAAAAAATGTGGGTCATTTTTAAGGTCACCATTTCCTCAATTTGATCTTAAAAACAAAATACAGGTCATTGATGGAAAGTTCCAGGGTTTGGTACTCGAAGTTCTTTGTGCCTATATTCCCTATTTAAAACCCCGGGTCCCCATTCCTACACACTTCACCCCTGGCTCATTCCACGTCACTGAAAACCTAACCATTCCACCTAACCAGAAAAAAATGGCAGAAGAATTTTTGGAACTGTAAGTATTTCTCTTTTTTCTATGTTACATTTTGATAATTATTGTGAAAGTAATTTCATTGTCACAAAATGTTTTCTGACTATCATTTCACATGAATCCTTATGACACTAAGACTAGTGTAAAATGTCAGTCCTAAAATCATTTTTCATTATGGAATTTCAGCCAAGACATGATTGAGGAATTTTCCCCAGTCTCCCCTAACATCATGGATTGGGATACAGAGTAAGTATGCTATAAAACAGTTATATTTTATTTTTACAAGTATTCAGTTAATCATTGGTAATGATGTAAAACACAATTTCTGATAAACAATAGGCTCATTTTTTTTCACTAATGTCATTTTGTTACTCTTTCAGTGACTTTGATGACAGTCTTCTTGTGGAAGCTGTTGAGGGCATGAGCACTTCTGTGGAGTAAGTAATATTAATTTGAAAATGATTTAATACTAATGCATGTAATACATGATGTAAACGAGTTAAAATAAATCACACAAAAAATGTTTGGGGTGTGTGTGTGTGTGTGTGTGTGTGTGTGTGTGTGTGTGCGATTATGACCTTTAACCATTTTGTGTTAATTTAGGTATATTGTTCTCATTTTCAGTGATGATGACTGTGTCATCATAGGGTGGACATGCCTGCTACCCCATCCATCACCAGTGACGCTACCAACACCAGTGACGTCACCACTGAGGGGGGCATCCTGCCCCACCTCCTCCCTCGTAAGTGTATATTAGATACATTGAAGTTATTACTATCTGAAGTAAAATGTATTATTATCATATACAGGATTTTTTATCTTATTTTGTTCCTTATTTTTTGTTCAGTCTAACAGAAGTCATCCAGGCCCATATAGAATGGAGAAGGCGGGAAGTGGAGAGTGGAATACGGGCTCTTCAACATGAAGAGTCCTTATTGGACATTTTAGAGATAGTTATTAGAGAATATTAGGTTTTTGTAGTGTTAGTTAGTATTAGTTTTGTATTATGTTTAATTTGTTATCTTTGTGTATATATTGTTAACTTTGTTCATATGGTGTTTGTGTAAATAAAGGTGCCCAAGGGTGGGCAAATGATTCATTCATTGTGGAGTACAGTCATGTCACACCTGTTACTTCACATGAATGGGTTATTTGTCCCAACCCATCAAAACATCTAGACATGCTGGGAAAAAAGGTTGTTGAATATATTCTCAATATTGGATACACCTGCTGGACTTGATCTATGTGTGAAGCTTGTGCTAAGGGATTTCCTATGGTTCACATGAGGTAAGTTGTTTCAATTCCCTATTCAGATGTTAGTATGTTTCCATAAATGTGAAGGGTAACTTACCTTGATGTTCTGTTGATGTGTAGTTGAAAGGCTGATGAAAATATATATCCAGTAGACAGTATAATCCAAGTCTGTTTAGTAATCCAGTGTACACAGTATAATTCAATGAGAAATGCACTCTGGTATATCCACAATGTGTGAAATCACTTGAATGTATATCCACTAATGACTTCAGAGACTGAGTATGACATGAAGCTGTTTGGTGGGGCTTATATACCAGAGTCTAAAAAATAGGTTGTGGGAAAACCCATGTCCAACATGAGTCATGGTCTAAATATAGACTCTTCTAAAAATAGACACAGCAGGTGTTGACATGACTCATAGTCTAAATATAACCTGTTACCAGGGGCCTATTCTAAAAATAGATTTTGACCCTATAAAGGCCCTTATACTACTCATCCTTGTGCAATCAGGAGAAATCCAACTGTGGTAGAGTGCTATCGGCTGCATGAGTAGTATAGATTAGATATGTGTATGTACATTTTGTATTCAAATCTCTGACGTGAAAACACGACAGATTGTCCTATTCTATTATACAAATGACGACACGAGAAATTGAAAGAGAAAGCTTTCCTACTTACAACGTTGAGTTGAATGGTCGAATTGAGTTATATACTCCAAATAACACACCGAATCAATGTTACACGTTTACTAGCGAAAGAAATTGTGTTCCATGGAAAGACAAATGTTCCGAGGCGTTTTCCTGGCTTCTGCGAGTCTTAAGACCCCACTGAGTGGAAATGAAAAGCTGTCTGGCCTTTATAAGTGAACTTCGCTCCGCAATGCTCGAATACCCACGTTCTAATTTCGTACAATTCGAACAACAGATGTTTGGATGCGTTCCTCCGACCACTGTTTCGCCCTCTGTCTCTGTTTCAAATTAAAGAAAACACTTTCACAAGACTACTGGTGAAAACATCCATGTTACAATAACTTTTGCCACTGAGTATAACAAATTCTGAAGTTGCTATAATATGTGTTTACTACATAATATTATCCACTGTTTGGAATATGACCCTGAAATAGCGGCATGTGTCAAAAAACTATTTAAAGTAAAAGTTTCATGCGTCTTCCGTTTTTACAGTCCTGGTCCGCTCTGTGACACTCACAAACATCAAGTCTGATAATGTGAAGATTGGACAGGAAGTTTGTCAAACTCTAACCTTGACCTGCGTGACCTCAGCCAGTTTCCCCACTTTCTACTGTCACCTGGCTGGCCTTGCCACCAGGAACGACACCTACAGTCAGCACAGAGACGACATCTGGTGTCCTGGTGAGAGACAACAAGCTCCGTCACATTCACTGTCAGAAGAAGTGACCAGGACAGGAGCTTTCGCTGTCAATCTGAAAACATCAACGGTCAGACATCCCCGCAGTCTAACAGAGCAACACTGGAGGTTTGGTGTGGTAAACACAGTCTAACAGGGCCACACTGGAAGTGTGGTGTCAGTAGACACAGTGTAACAGAGCCACACTGGGGTTTGGTGAAATTAGACACAGTGTAACAGAGCCACACTGGGGGTTTGGTGTCAGTAGACACAGCCTAAAAAGAGAGCCGTACTGGAGGTTTGGTGTAATTAGACACAGTGTAACAGAGCCACACTGGGGGTTTGGTGTCAGTAGACACAGTGTAACAGGGTCACACTGGGGGTTTGGTGTCAGTAGACACAGTGTAACAGAGCCACACTGGGGGTTTGGTGTCAGTAGACACAGTCTAACAGAGCCACACTGGGGGTTTGGTGTAAGTAGACACAGCCTAACAGAGCCACACTGAGGTTTGGTGGACTAGACACAGTGTAACAGAGCCACACTGGAGGTTTGGTGTAAGTAAACACAGCCTAACAGAGCCACACTGGAGGTTTGGTGTAAGTAGACACAGTGTAACAGAGCCACACTGGGGGTTTGGTGTAATTAGACACAGTGTAACAGAGCCACACTGGGGGTTTGGTGTCCAGTAGACACAGCCTAACAGAGCCACACTGGAGGTTTGGTGTAATTTGACACAGTGTAACAGAGCCACACTGGGGGTTTGGTGTCAGTAGACACAGTGTAACAGGGCCACACTGGGGGTTTGGTGTCAGTAGACACAGTGTAACAGAGCCACACTGGGGGTTTGGTGTAAGCAAACACAGCCTAACAGAGCCGTACTGGAGGTTTGGTGGAAGTAGACACAGTGTAACAGAGCCACACTGGGGTTTTGGTGTCAGTAGGACACAGTGTAACAGAGCCACACTGGGGGTTTGGTGTCAGTAGACACAGTGTAACAGAGCCACACTGGGGGTTTGGTGTAAGTAAACACAGCCTAACAGAGCCACACTGGAGGTTTGGTGTGTGTAGACACACAGTCTAGCAGGAGCCAGACTTGAGGTTTGGTGTACGAAGACACAGTGTAACAGAGCCACACTGGAATCTTGGTGTAAGTAGACACAGTGTAACAGAGCCACACTGGAGGTTTGGTGGAAGTAGACACAGTGTAACAGAGCCACACTGGAGTTTAGGTGTAAGAGAGCTACAAGGAAGGTTTGATGTGAGAAGACACAGAGTCACAGATCCACACTAGAGATTTGGTGTAGACATTGTTTGGGCGTACGATGACTCAATCCAAGAGAGAGAAACGCTGAATATGAGATGCCATCTTATAACAGAGCCAACTGCTGGTTTTGTTTAAGTAATCAGGTATCAATCAAATGTTTTGAAAGTAGCGTGTCAGGTATGAAATGCCATCTTCAACTGAGCCTCAAATTTCTGGTGTGCCCCTGCTGTGATATTGCTGGAATATTGCTAACAGCATCGTTAAACCCAACTCACTCACTCACTCACTCAACAGAGCCTCACTACATGTTTGGTTTAAGTAATCAGGTATCAATCAGATGTAGCGTGTCAGGTATGAAATATACAGGTTTTGGTGTCAACAGTCTTGTATCTGTCAAGGCAATGTATAAAGTAAGTAAAGTCTTCAGATCCACTGTGAATGATTGCAACAAGTCCGCATATTTCAGAACGACACGTTGGTGTTTGATGCAGAGAAACAGAATAACGGTATTGCTGATCTGAACATGTATCTGTCAGACGTATGCAAGATTCTGTATATAAGCAGATACAGTTTAACAAACAACACAGTAATTATATACTTGAACTGATCTGAACATGTATCTGTCAGACGTATGCAAGATTCTGTATATAAGCAGACACAGTTTAACAAACAACACAGTAATTATATACTTGAACTGATGTGAACATGTATCTGTCAGACGTATGCAAGATCTCTGTATATAAAAAAGCAGACACAGTTTAACAAACAACACAGTAATTATATACTTGAACTGATCTGAACATGTATCTGTCAGACGTATGCAAGATTCTGTATATAAGCAGATACAGTTTAACAAACACCACAGTAATTATATACTTGAACTGATCTGAACATGTATCTGTCAGACGTATGCAAGATTCTGTATATAAGCAGATACAGTATAACAGACAACACAGTAATTATATACTTGAACTGTATATAAGCAGATACAGTATAACAAACAACACAGTAATTATATACTTGAACTGTATATAAGCAGATACAGTATAACAAACAACACAGTAATTATATACTTGAACTGTATATAAGCAGATACAGTATAACAAACAACACAGTAATTATATACTTGAACTGTATATAAGCAGATACAGTATGTAACAAACAACACAGTAATTATATACTGGAACTGTATATAAGCAGATACAGTATAACAAACAACACAGTAATTATGTACTTGAACTGTATATAAGCAGATACAGTATAAAAAACAACACAGTAATTATATACTTGAACTGTATATAAGCAGATACAGTATAACAAACAACACAGTAATTATATACTTGAACTGTATATAAGCAGATACAGTTTAACAAACACCACAGTAATTATATACTTGAACTGATCTGAACATGTATCTGTCAGACGTATGCAAGATTCTGTATATAAGCAGATACAGTTTAACAAACAACACAGTAATTATATACTTTGAACTGATCTGAACATGTATCTGTCAGACGTATGCAAGATTCTGTATATAAGCAGACACAGTTTAACAAACAACACAGTAATTATATACTTGAACTGATGTGAACATGTATCTGTCAGACGTATGCAAGATTCTGTATATAAGCAGACACAGTTTAACAAACACCACAGTAATTATATACTTGAACTGATCTGAACATGTATCTGTCAGACGTATGCAAGATTCTGTATATAAGCAGATACAGTTTAACAAACACCACAGTAATTATATGCTTGAACTGATCTGAACATGTATCTGTCAGACGTATGCAAGATTCTGTATATAAAGCAGATACAGTATAACAGACAACACAGTAATTATATACTTGAACTGTATATAAGCAGATACAGTATAACAAACAACACAGTAATTATATACTTGAACTGTATATAAGCAGATACAGTATAACAAACAACACAGTAATTATATACTTGAACTGTATATAAGCAGATACAGTATAACAAACAACACAGTAATTATATACTTGAACTGTATATAAGCAGATACAGTATAACAAACAACACAGTAATTATATACTTGAACTGTATATAAGCAGATACAGTATAACAACAACACAGTAATTATGTACTTGAA